AATGCTGAGCACTATGCGCTGCAGTACGTGGATGGGCGCCAGACCTACATCACTGAGTCGGTGAGACACTCTCCGCCTGCCCCGGCACCGCAGCTATGGCACTCGCTATCTCATCGATGCCTTTCTCCTCACAGAACCGCGGGGACATCAAGAACGGGAGCATTTTACAGCTGACCACCTCCCCGGTACATTCCTCTGCCCTTCCGTCTCCTTCTCTGCTGTGTGCTCTGGTGGGAGGTCCTTCCTGTGACTTCTGGCTGCTCATGGTGCCCTAGACCCAGGAGAAGTAACATGGGAAGGAGACCTGTCTCAACCTTCATTCTTCCTCAGCGGAGCCTGGGGGAGTTTGAAGAGAAACTAAATCATTTTGAGATGCTTTGTGCTTTGGACGTGTGGGCCAACTCAAGTGTTCCTTCCTCAGCTCTTCCTGGTCTCTGATCTGGTGGCTCTCTCTCTTGGTCCAAATCCTCACCAGGGCTTCCAAGTCCTCACCAGGGCTGCTATAGCTTAAACCTCCTTCTAAAACTTGTGCTTAAGCTCTTCCAGCCTTCTCCAAGCTTCTCGCTGTCTTGATTCTTTCCTGCCTGGTTAGGACCAAGAAGCAGAGCGGTTGTACAGTGGGATCCAGAGCAACAACTCAGATGTGAAGACTGACTCACTGAAGAAGCTTGCAAGCCTCTCCCAGGACGTGACCTTTGCTCAGGAGTTCATCAACAGGAATGGCTTGAAACAAATCTTCTATATAGTGGAAGAAGGGAATGAGTGAGTATCAGAAGAAGACTTCCCTTGCAGTTCTTGACTTTTCTTCTCCCATGGTAATTCTGCATGAGCTCTAAGCTGGGCATTGGAGCCGTCTCTGTTCATGTTCTTGGCTTGTTGCTGGTGCTGTGGCATAAAAGGCAGTGCTGGTTGCAGGGCACTTGGCTCTGCAGGCTCCTTGCCTGCAGGTATGTGGCTGTGTTCTCTCATGCTGGCAGCTGGTAGAACATCCCCATGGGTCTGTGGACCTCACTCCTTGCGAATGTGCCCTAACTTGAACCTTCCATCCCTTCACCAGTTGAGTCATCTGCAACCTCGTGGGTTGTGCTACCAGGAAGCCTCCTGTGATGATCCTAGCTTCCACTGCTGTTATTCTGCCTTCCAAATAATTCCTCTGTCCCAAGGTTTTAGCTGTGAGAGATCTGCAGGCAACTCGAGAAACCCCTGCCTGCCAAATACTGGTGTCTGCTTGACTTCCAGGATGTGATGGTGCATCTCCTCTGAGCTCCTGTCTCACAGAAGATGTGGCCTCTAAATCCAGGCAGCACAGCACATGTTTTGTGGAAGCAGGGGGAGGGATTTGGGTGATTTGGTTTTCCTGAGGGCTTGTCTGCAGTATGGGGATAACGCAGCTTTACAGAAACTGTTGAACTTCCCCTGCCTCAACTTCATGACATGATTAAGCGAGAGCTCCATTTCTCAACCAACAGTGGCTCTTTCCTTTTTTCTTCTGCTCGCTGCTTCTCCATCTGTTTCTAATATAGCCACCAACATGCAACTGGACTCCCATCTTATGGTGGTGACTGTGGGGTGTCTGGAGCCACCCTCACCGTGTTTGCTCATCTGTCTTTCCAGTATAGGGGAGATGCTGGCTCACACCCTGAAGGCCTTCATGGAGCTGATGGAGCATGATTTTGTTTCCTGGGAGACTCTTAGTGCAGCCTTTATTAAGAAGGTAAGTGTCTTCTGCAGACTCCACAGCCTGTGCCCTTGGGATTTCTTGTTGCCCTCGTCACCCAGGCTCAGCATGCTGTTGACAAATGGTTTTGTGTCTCATAGATAGTGAGTTACGTCAATATGAGTGTAGTGGATGCATCCATCCAGCAGCTCTCCTTGTCTATCTTGGAGAACATGGTACCTACCAGTCGCCTCCTCTTTGAGCTAGTCAAAAAAGAAGTGACACTGGATCGTCTTCTCGCCCACCTGCAGGTGTAAGTGGAGAGATCACAAGATCACAGCACCATTTATCCCCATCCCAAAGATGGTGGGGATGAGGTGGGGGGGGATTTCTTTGGGTCTTTCTGATTGTCTCTGGCACAAGGTTATACTGTCCCTTCCTCAACAACTTGTGGGTGGGTAGCCTGTCCTGTCCCTGATGATGGGGAAGGGATGGACTGTCCTGAAACCATCATGTTTCCAGGGCAGATTCCTTCATTCATGGCCTGTTCCATTCAGATATTTCAGTTCTTGAGGTGACTGCTGTTGCTCTGGCGCTGGCTCTTCCTTCCCTTTCCCTGGTGTATTTAGGAGCAGGAGTGAACACCCTGTGACTCAGATGGTGGTGCTGTACTG